CTCAGTTCGTCTAGTTTTCTGTTCCTTGGCTCAGGCAAGTATCTTCTTCTTATCTATATACTTAGCAATTCTTTTTTTACTACAATTCTACAAAATTAGGTCAGCTTTGCTCAGATTCTAAACAGTCAAAGTGAAAACATTTCAGTTTGTTTTTCACGGGCAGTTAATCATCAGTTTTCCAAAATTGTGACTCAGCTGAACTAATTCTTTGATTCTCTGGTCTATCATTGTGTTTGGCTATTAGGAATGCAAATGTGTTCCTAACGCCATAGGGACCTGCTCAGTGGCCGTTACCTTTTCTTCCTCGCCGTGCTAATCTCTCCACTGCTGGCCCCGCCTCTCTGGCTGAGATGATTAATCTTGGTGATCTTAGCCAATCCAATGCTTTCCCTTAGGAAAGTATTAGAAAGCTAGTGTGCATGCGCGACAAAACATCATGCAGTACCCAACAGCATCTCCTCCCAGAGATACATTGAATCAATGCAGAGCATGGAAACACTCAACATCAGTAATTCAATCTTTGCCGGATTGAACCCAGAAAGTCCCTCTACTGGTTGCAATCACTAGGGATTTTACTAGGCTGCAATGAAAAGCGGTGTTTACAGTGCTAGGACTGCAGGGACATACTATAGACACTAGGACCACTACATTAAGCTGTAGTGGATCTGGTGGATATAGTGTTCCTTTAAGAGTGCCTGTGCCTTTAAATTTTGTGATTGTCTTGGCTGCAGCGTATACCCGATTGATCCCCAATAAATAACCTGCACCTAACACTTTCAGTCATCGTTGAAATTCAGGTTGGACACAATTGCCATTAATAATGCATAAGTGTTAATTCTACATTATCAATGTAACAGAGATGGTATAGGTGTTCTGTCGGTGCTGAAACAAACCCTATGCACGCTGTCATTGTTTATGAGCTTTGCCTAATTTACAGAGACATCGCAGCTGGGGGTCTGGTGGCCATGAGGGGAAGGTATCTGTATCTGTTCCTTGTGGGTGCCACAATCCTCTTCCATTGGATCTGCTGTAGCTCTTTGTGCTTTAGTTGCCAGGAGATTATATCCGTGCTGTAATCTTGCGCATTGAGGTCTGTGGAGGCAAGAAAGAGCTTTTTTTTCCCATACCGCCGTTAACAGTGTAAAATGGTAAACTTGACAAAAAACAACTCCTACTTTTGTCAAACAAAGGAAAAATATTGAGATCCCTACTCAGCATATCTTTATGAAATACTAATTTTTATAAACGGGGGTAACAGTGTCTTTAAGATGCTTGTTATTAAACTGTTGTACAGTGCCAGGGAACATATTTCTTTAATGGTTTAGTTGTTTTTAGGTTGTAATCCAGACTTAAAGGCACACTGTAGGCACCCAGACCAATTCAGCCTATTGAATTGGTCTGGTTGCCAACTCCCATCACCCTTAACCCAGCAAGTGTAATTATTGCAGTTTTTATAAACTGCAATAATTACCTTGCAGGATTAAGTCCTCCTCTAGTGGCTGTCTACCAGACAGCCACTAGAGGGACTTCAGGCTTCTTAGACAATGAGGACCTCCAGTGTCGCCGGAAACCCCATAGGAAAGCATTGAATAATGCTTTCCTATAGGGAGGTCTTCCCCGCTAGCAGACGTAGGCAGGGGAGGAGCGTGGGCCTAGCCTGACATCGACGCTGGATTTAGGTAAGTGTCTGAAGGCGTTTTAACCCCTTCAGCGATGTGGGATTGGGGGCGGGAGGGAGGGGGGCCCTCCAGGATTCTCTAGTGCCAGGAAAACGGGTTTGTTTTCCTGGCACTAGAGAATCCCTTTAAATTCTCAGGGTGTGTATGGAGGGAGATTAGAGACAAATTTACTCGCAGCACTGCCTGCGAGGGAACTAACTCACTACATCTGTTGCTAGTGTGCAGTGCAGGGTGACAAGATGTAATGTTTGCACAAAATTTACATTGGGCAGCTGGAATCAGAGTGTCAGGTCACGTGGGCCAGTGGTCTAAAAGTTACTATATCTCTGGATGTGCAGCATTTCAAGTAGAAACGCTGCACATACAGACTCCTACCACTATGACCATTTCTAAAAGCAGAAGTGGTCATAAAGCGTGGAATATCTATTAAAGCGGCACTGTCATGGCCGAATCCCGCCTCCACTACTTCTAACTGACCCCCTAGTCACCCCCAAATGCCTGAAAGCCCCCCAGATTACCTATTTTTAATCTTTATTTTCTGCCCCGATCTATATTCAGGGCGCCGCCATCTTTGTGTGGGTAGATGAAGTCCCTGTGGGATACGTCATCTGCCCACACTAGATAGCGCTGTGAGATTCCCGCACATGCCCAGTGAAACACTTGGACATGCGAACGGGAATTTCATCTATTCATTCATTCGTCAGAAAGCTGAATGAATGAATAGAAATGTCAGACGAACAAACTAACACTGAATATCAGTGTTCGTTTGTTTGTGCAGTTTATTACAAGGAGTGAGCTACTGGCGCGCGGCTCCCCCTTGTAATATATAAAGATAGCAGTGCTATTGTCCCCCCCCTCCCCCCCGGTCCCCACCCCTGAGCTGTGGGTGGGGGCCCTAAATAGGAATGTGGGGGGACCTACTGTGGGGGCCCTAATTTAAAATTCACCCCCCCAATCAAGGTGTTCTGTGTCATTTTACACAGCGTGGGAAAATTCCAAAGAACTTTCCCATGCTGTGTAAAATGACACAGAGCACTATGATTGGTTAGATTTCAAGTTCTTTGGAATTTTCCCACGCTGTGTAAAATGACAAAGAGCACTCTGATTGGCTTAAACCAACCAATTTTTGGCGCTCTGGTTTTTTTATTTCATTTTAGGTTCGACGGGTATGATAGCTTTTTATTTGGCCTTTTTTGGGACTAAAATTAAGATTTTAGAGACTTGGGACCCCTAGTCACCTTGATTGGGGAATTTTCATTTAGGGCCCCCACCCACCGTTTTTTAGGGCTCAGGGGGGTGGCCGGGGGGGAGGACAGTAGGTCCCCCCCTTATTGTTTTTAAGGCCCCCACCCACCGCTCAGGGGTGGGGGCCAGGGGGGGAGGACAGTAGGTCCCCCCCCACCATTTTTATATAGGGCCCCCACCCACCGCTCAGGGGTGTCGGCCGGGGGGGAGGGCAGTAGGTCCCCCACCCTTATTGTTTTTTAAGGCCCCCACCCACCGCTCAGGGAGGTGGCCGGGGGGGGGAAGGAAGTTCCTCCCCTATTTGTTTTTTAAGGCCCCCACCCACCGCTCAGGGGTGGGGGCCGGGGGGGAGGACAGTAGGTCCCCCCCCCCCACCTTTCTTATATAGGGTCCCCACCCACCGCTCAGGGCTGGGGGTCGGGGGGGAGGACAGTAGGTTTAATAGACATGCTACCGCGAGTAGGGGCTGAATTTACTAATACTAATAAGTAACCTTTACTTAGTATTAGTAAATGTGGCCGAAAGACCAATTTAGGTCTTTCAGCCTTTTAGTAGATAACTCCCTAATACCGTGGGAATTAGGGAGTTATCTACTAAGCGGCTGCAACATGCAGCCGCGGCAATGAATAGGATCGGAGTTTCATTCATTCTAATGAAATTCAGATACGTACAAAGTCCCGAATTGCGTTCTAACACGAATGGAGAAACTGTTATAACGCAATTCGGCAGTTTTGCCGGCGTCCTGTCTAAGTGACAGGTAGCATCGCGGGAACAGGGAGGAAAAGTAAGGATTGTGGGAAAATTGCAGTGACCACTGGAAACGAAGCACACTTTGCTCCTCCGCTGGTCACCGCGTAGGAAACCTCCATAAGAGAAATAGTCCCTATTTGTCTTAAGTTTTAAAGAAAACTAGAGCAGACAGGAAGAAATGAATAACAGATCCTGAGAGAAGGGGAGAAGAGGAATCGATTGGGGAAAGGTAAGTTCGGCATGACTGTGCCGCTTTAAGAATTTTGTTTGTTTTTTTCCAAAAATATACAACGATATATGCCTTTGCCACTATCCTGTGGCGTTACAGCACCATATAAGAGACCTGTCTATTTCAGTTTTTACAGTTCGAATTTTGACAGATGCATTGTTTTGAGCCTATGCCTTGTTTTGTTGCATTGTAACAGTTTTGATAATCAAATTACCCTAAGAATACCTACCATTTGTGAAAGTAGACACTCTAGAGCAGGGCTTAACAAATTTGCTTGAAATCTAGGAGCCAGCAAAAAAATGTAGGTTTCTCTATGTCAAAAATACAATCCTTAAAGGGACACTATAGTCACCAGAACTACTACAGTTTATTGCAGTTGTTCTCGTGTCTACAGCCTGTCTCTGCACACTTTTCAATGCTTTTTCAGAGAAAATGCTGTATTAACATTGTTGCCTAGTAACAGTTCTAGTGGCAGTCAGTAAGGAGCCCTCTAAAAGGTGCATCCTGGGTCAGTCCTGCACAGCACCTACGTTTAGCTTCTCCACACTCTGCATGGAGGTGCTGAACGATCCCAGTAGAGATGTGTTGATTCAATGCATCTCCATGAGGAGATGCTGATTGACGCAGCTTGGCGTTTTACCACACATGTGCAATAGCCTCCCAATGTTGTCCTATGGGAAAGTATTGGATTGACTGAGATCATCAAGATTGATGATCGCAGTCATGGAGGCAAAGTCAGATGCGGCTAGTCCAGCACAGTGTCGGAAAAAAGGTAAGTAAAAACCCCTTTCCCATGTGATTGGAGGGAGACCAGTCACCTAAATACACACACACTCACTGACAGACACAAACACGCGCACTCCCTGACAGATACAAACATACGCACCCACTAACAGACACACTCACTCACTGACAGACACACACACTCACTGACAAACAAACACACACACACTGACAGACACATACACACTCATTGACAGACACATACACACTCATTGACAGACACACTCACTCACTGACAGACACACACACATTCACTGTCACTGCAGCAATCACACACATTTTGTCACACACATTAATGTGATCACCCAGTTCTCCCTACCTTTGGGAGAGCTTGAGTGGTTCGGCTTTCCCTGTGGTCCAGTGGGGCTTCAGTCATCTTACTGCTCTGCTCCATACAGCGCTGTTTAGTGATGCCGAGCCGGAATGACATCATATTCCGGCTCCCGGCATCACTGGAGTGTGCGCGTGGGAGCAGAGCAGGGAGGTACCGATTCCTTGTGCACCTGCCCATCTGCCTCAATCCTTCAGGAGCCTCCCGCCACGCGCGCACACCCACGCTCTACCTCAGCTGGACACCCGCCCGCCTATGCTCTTCCTGAGCTGATCGGCTGACCACCCGCCCACCTATGCTCTTCCTGAGCTGACGGCCAACCACCTGCACACCGTTGCTCTTTATGAGCCTGTTGGCCTCCCACCTCCACTCATATGCAGCCGACCACGTCAGGGGCTGAATGGGCCAACAAATCCCAGGCGCCTGAGATTTGTAGAGCCCTGCTCTAGAGTTTCACCTGATTATGTTTGTAGTAAAAATTTCTGTTTTTTGCATGGGCGGGACTTGGCTGCCATGCTAGATGGTCGCGTTCCAAGCAAGCTCCTCAAAGATTTTTAGAAATTGGTGTTTAATCAACTGTTTCCTAACTTCTTTCACTCACAATTGATGTCTACTTAAAGGAACACTATAGCCACCCATACCAGTTCAGCTCATTAAAGTGGTCTGCGTGCAGTGTCCCTATTGCCATTAGTCCTGCAATGTAAAACATTGCTGTTTTAGAGAAATTGCAATGTTTACATTGCAGTACTAAGACAACCTCTAGTTGAAAAATGTCCTGCTCAGTTGGGATTGACATATAGGGTATTCTTATCAGACTTTATTGGTGCTCCATTCAAACCCTTAGTGTTAACAAACTATACCAAACCATGGGTGTGCAATGTGATTATGTCCTGTAAATGATCAGTCTGCATTTAGAAAGATGCAAAGAATTCTTCTACATTTTTGTAGGCTGAAGTTTGAAAGCTAGGATGTTTTTTTCCAATCATTGTGGAAAACAAGATATTTAGTTTAGCCCTCATCAAATCATAGCCCAAGTTGGCCACGGTAGACCAATTGCTTAATCTAACAAGAGCCATGTACTGCCGGCACCAATAACATTAACCCATTAATCATATAAAAGCTAAATTTTTGGTAGTGGTAATGAGTTTTATCTATCAAAACACTATACTAAGGGTATAAGGGTATACTTTGGTAAGAGGTTCTGTTTTACGAGGGGCTCACACTGTATATGAAAGCAGTAAGAATAAAAAAACATATGGTGAACATGCATACCCTACACAATTGTTGTGCCTCTAATTTGTATCTAGACAACTTTCCAAACCCCACTACATGTTTTGAAGAGCAGTAGATGGCTAGTATACCTCAGAAAATATTTGTTGTTTGTGTATAGAGATGCTTATGATACTGCAAACATTAAATCCCTGTTTTGTTTTTCTTTATAGGAGTTTATTTTTAGATCATGATGTGCAGCACTGATGACATAGTGGATTGTTTTCATGGGGAAACCCTGCTCTGTAGTCTAAATGAACAACGCATGCATGGGACCCTGTGTGATGTTACCATTGTGGTTGAAGATACCAAATTCAAGGCACATAGAAATATCTTGGCTGCCTCCAGCTTGTATTTTAGAAACCAGTTCTTGAGCCAGAGCATCTTTATCCAGGGTCATGTTTTGGAGCTCACAGATTTCAAAGCAGACACATTTACAGAGATACTGAATTATATTTATAGCTCTAAGATTGTAGTAAAAAGAAAAGAAACACTGACTGATCTTGCAGATGCTGGGAAAAAACTGGGAATAAAGTTTTTAGAGAACATCAAAGCATTTGGTCAGATTTACAAGAAATCGTCATCATCTGTTCAAACATGTTCCAAAGAACCCGAAGAAAATGTGCCCGCAATGTTTTATCGGGGAGAGAATGGTCTGAAAACAGAAGCTGTGGAAAAAAAAGGAGATGACTTTGCTGTTTCCAGTGTTCCAAGGATCACCAATGCATATTCTATTTTAGAGACTGAGGTTAGTGTGTTCTCTCCACTTGATTTGAGAGCTAATTTTAAGAAGACCACAGGTGTCACAGCAGAGGTAGATTGTGGTGTTGAATGTGAAAAAGGAGTGTGCAGTGAAGGGGAGCCAGTGAACACTTTAGCTGAGCATTCATACGCAGTGTCTTCCGGAGATGCTCCTTATAAAAAGGACTCTGTGTTTGAACATGGAAATATAGTTAAAGAAGCAAGGATTGATGAAAGCACAACGCCTTGCCCAGTTCCTGCTATTCAAGAAAGAAAAGTAGCTAGTAACTTGCCTCTTCTAGACCCTCTGTGTGTAGTCCCACAGCCTATTATCCAGAGCTGTACCTCAACAAGTAATATTAACAGTCCAGGGATAAGTGGGCAAATTATTAATCCTCCAGATTTCTACACTGGTAGAGAAGATGAAAACCCCTTACCACGGCTTCCTCCAGGTAATCAACCTGCAACCCAGTCATTACCTGACCAAGAATTGTATCCACTTCCTAAAAATCAACACGAGATATACCATTGCAAAAATTGCAGCAAAGAGTTTGCTCATTTGAAGCGTCTACAGAGGCATGAGCAGATCTGCTTCAAAGTTGTACACACAGAGAAAGATGTGAGACTATCAGACAACATTTCTGGACAAGCATCTGCAGACATGAGTTGCGCATCTTCCGATCTGATGTCAGGTCAAAATACCCTTTCAAATGTTACTTCTCCTGGAACAGATCATTTTGTGAAAATAGTAGATGGAAAGATATTCTATGTTTGCATTGTTTGCAAGAGGAATTATGTAACTTTGTCCAGTCTTCGGCGTCATTCAAATGTTCATTCTTGGAGAAAATCATACCCCTGCCATTATTGCAACAAAGTCTTTGCCCTAGCAGAGTATCGTACTAAACATGAAATCTGGCACACAGGTGATAGACGATATCAGTGTATATTTTGTCTAGAAACATTCATGACTTACTACATCTTGAAAAATCATCAGAAATCATCTCATGGAATCGATCCAAGGCTAGGAGTGGGAAACAAATCTGCTAATCGAGGACTAAAGCCTAGCATCTATCCATACAAGCTTTATAGGCTTTTACCTATGAAATGTAAAAGGGCACCTTTAAAGACTCATAGAAACGATGCTACAGAAAAAACAGAAATGCATTTTCAAGGACTACCTTCTTTAAACACAACCACCATTGTCCAGAATCCTCTCAGTTCTCAGCCATTTGCATTAGAACCCCAGAATGGGTCGTCTTGTTCAATGGATACATCATCACATGGTGTTTCAAGTTCAACTGCAAACCTAGATCCCTGGACATTTGATGTATCACAATCCGAGAGCACTGTGAATGATCTGCCTGCCGGGAAACCCACTTCACCTTTGGCAAGCATTAATTTTGTTCCCAAGGAGTGTGATAATGCAACAAGCCCTCCTTTCAATGAAAAGCAGAACACACACTCAGTTATCAATTGTACCAACTCGGCACCATCAGTTATCATGCACAGCAGTAGGGTTTCTTCTGTAATAATGCATGGGAATGCTGTGGCAGCGGCAACAACAAATGGGATTGGCTATTACAACGACAAAACCATTTCCTCACCTGAAAAAGATATAGTTTATCAAGATACAAACAAAGAAGTTGTAGGAAAACAGTCTACTAAAGAGGAGGAAAAAAATGAAAGATTCAAAGCTAGAGAACCTCTCCAGGAAAGTAGAGAAATGCCTGCTCCCGTGACTACTTCAATAAAGAAGAATAAAAGTGTTATCCATAAAGGGAATAAAACAGAGACATACATTGCCAAACCAGCCTTGCCTGGAACTCTAGTTAACAGCGGCATTGCTCCACTTTGCCAGATAACAGTTAAGATTGGAAGTGAGGCTTTGGTGAAACGTCAAATATCTGGATCATCCCTGTTCTTCAGAAAAAGTGGAAAAGCAAAGCACTCCGAAAGCAAAGCAAAGAAAGCCACTATGTATTCTGAGGAAGACAAGAAAGAGAGGAGTTCTGTCCGGCTTCGAAAGTCAGAAGGTATGAAGATGGAAGAGATGTATGATGATACTAGTGACCAAGATGTGTCTGACAAGCCATGGAGACCATATTACAACTACAAGCCCAAAAAGAAGTCCAAGCACTTTAAAAAATTCAGAAAGCTAAAGAAGCGGAAAAAACACAGCAGGTTAAGGCCTGCAGAAGAAAATGTAAACAAGATAGATGATAAGCACTTACCAGAAAATGTGGTTGAAAATTGCACAGAAGAAAATCTACAAGCGACTGACTTTGAAGATACTGAAAAGGCAGTTGAGGAAGACATGGAAGTTTCTGAGGATTGGCAACTTGGAAATAAGCCTTGTTTTTGTGAACTGTGTCAAAAATCATTTCGGAATCCTTCAACCTTAAAGATTCACATGCGTTGTCATACAGGAGAAAAGCCTTATCCATGTAAAACATGCGGGAAGTGCTTCTCATTCCCTGGAAACTTAAATAAACATGAACGCATCCATCTGGGTGTAAAGAACTACATGTGTCAGTACTGTAGCAAGTCTTTCATGGTAAATGAAAGTCTAAAAAAGCACGAGAGAATTCACACCAGGGAAAAAATGTACAGTTGTCAGTTCTGTCCGCAGCAGTTTCTCTATCTCTGCACTAAAAACAATCATGAACAAAGACATTTAGCAGAACGTAATGTGAAAGGGTTCGTTTGTGCCCAGTGTTCCAAAATTTGCAAGACGGCAGCAGCTCTGGGAATGCACCAAAAGAAACATTATCTTAGGAGCCGAAAGCAGAGAGAGCGTAAAGACTTCACGGTTGAAGAAAGTTGGGATTCCCTAACTAGTCCAATTTGCAAAGCTTCAGAAACAATTAGAGATCAGGAAGATAAAGATGTGCCTGAACGTTTTCCTTCTTCCTTCAATGACTGCGTGACCCCCTTGTTGTCTTTTAACAACAGTGTTACAGAAATAGTCCCTCAGAATGTAAATGATGTAGGCATGGTGGACAATGTAGACCCAGGGGGAGAACTTGAAAGCACCTTTATGACTCCACCATCAGCGTTTCCTCCAGCTTCGTTACATGGGAGTGTCTTGATGGAGATCCCAAAGAGTTGGAAGCACTGGAAAACCAGGCACTATAGCTTGGAGGAGAGCTTGAACTCTGATGATTCTTCCGCTAGAGAGTGTACAAAGACTTTTACTGAGTTAAAGACAATGACGAGTTTTGAGTAACCATTTGTTCCCTAAATGTTAGTGATGAAATATTTTAAAACAAAACATCACAAATTACTCAGATTATAGTAATACTTTCTTTGATAACCCTTCTGCTGCCAAAGGATAATTGCAGGACCTTAACGTTGCAAAGGGTAACTACAAAGAAATTGAGTGTTTTATAGGTGTTTGTTCCCCAAGCTTAACATTCATGCACTAGTCCCATGTAGCAAAATCAGTATAAACATACATAAATGAAAGAGAAGTTCATCAGGTTACGCCTTCTGTGCAGTTTATAGTATACACAAATTTGTTAAAGTAGCAGTTGCTGTTTAAAAAGAAAATCCTATTTACCCCAAATGGTGTTCCTATGAGATATATGTGCTCTTATAAGCTCAGGATTTTCCTTGAGTCATGATGTTTGAGACTTTCATAAGTTACTACATTGAGGTCTACACCTAAACCTTATTTTCTCCATTGACAGGTTTAGTCCGTAAAATGTAGCAGCTTCATGTTAGTCAACAGAGTGAAAGCTAGATTGTTACTATATTCTCAGAAGGAAGATCAAGTCTTGTGTGCTGCTTCTTTAAATACTGATGGTATACAAAATTTGATATAAACTGTACAGCACATTATGTATTGTATTTAGTGCATTATATGGGTTTCACCTTTTCGGTGCCCGCAGTAGAAACCTAAGTCTTTCTGTTACTTTATGACCACAAGGAACTATTGGAAAGACTAATAATATTAATATTGTAGTAAAGAACACAATGTGATCTCTCTCCATATGATGTATTTTTTCAGTGTTTGCGAGAAAAAAGTGCAACACCATGTTTAATAATACAATGCTACTAAGATTCTAAAATTTTGAGAGGAAAAATTACAAAAATTTTAGTCTATGCAAGAAAAGGTTTTGATTATTATTATTATTTTCCTGTTAATATATCTTGGCTAAGATCCAGATTTTATCCAGTAAACAGTGAGTCGAAAACCGACCTCCAAAATTGGGATCAAAATAGCTGAATGAAAAATAAAATACAACGCAGCCAAATTTTGTAAGTCGGTTGCCAACCGTTTAGTAAATAAAGTCCTATACGATGGGATTTCTGTCCCCATTCTGAAATAAAAATTCCTAAGTAAATGGACAGATTTAAATACTTACAGGTGTTATTAACTTTGTTTTTGTTGCTTTTCTTTTTTTGTAACCTATATACCCATATGTCTACCAGGGGACCACTTCCCAATATAGTATGCAATAAGATAACGTTCATTATGAGAGAGAGAGAAAAAAAAAGTTGTTAGTTTTTAACCAAGCAACAAGCACTTCTGCCAAACTACTCTTATTCACTCTATTAAAATAAGGTGTTAAAAAGTGTAATAAAGAGGTTGGTAGAGCGCCGTAAAAATATATTTATATTTATAAATGTTAAACAATTTTGAAAGGTCCATTAGTTCTTTGTTCCTGTATTTTTATTTTTTTTAAATCTATTTTGGATACTTTAACTGAACAAGTGAAAAAAATGTTTAAGCAGCAGGTAATATGGCTTGTTGTGAATGTAACCGTGGCCCATGTTTGTTGTCATGTGCTATGTTATGATTTTTTTTAATATTGGTTTTTGTTTATGGCAATTGGTTATTTTTAGTAGACACAAGTTCAGACATGGAAGTAAAATGTTTGTTTTATGGGAAATCAAAAATGTCATAATATGAAAGATAAGTGAAACCAAAATCAATCCTTTTATGATTATTTGTTACTTCTTGAAATTTTGATTTATTCAAACTTGGGGATTGTTCTAGACAAGTTTAATACAACATATGCCCTGTTTTATGCTGTACTGGTAATCAATATATAGTTTTCTCTGGTTATAGCTTTAGTTTTAAAGCAAATTTGAATTTGTTATTGCAAAATTGTGATACAAAGAAAATACATTTCTGAAGCTGTAAGAATCGAACTCCAGTCTTGATGTTAATGCTTGATTTTATTTGTATCATTCTGTATAGAACCCCATCATGGAAATACGAAGGTGCTGAATTAGAAGCTAACACAAACATTCCATTTATATACTGTAGAGGGATAGTCAAATTATCTTGGTCTTGTAGTCAAAAAAAGGCATTGGTTTAAAAAAACTGTCCAGTTTAACTTAGTATTGCAAGATTCTAAGGAGCCCAATGCCTTACTTTTCCACTTTTTAGGTTATTATTGTGAGTATTAGTGAGGCTGATGTGGTCTCTGTAACGCAGCATATCTGGGGTTTAATCACTAAACTTTGTCTTTTAGTGAGTTGATAATTGTCTTGATATTGTAGGCTAAAATAGTAGATTTTCAAAAGTATCCAACTGTCATTTCACATGGCAAATTGGATTTAAAATTTCCAGCCCAGTTTAAAGCTTGGCTTTTAAGTGATGATACTGTTAAAACTTGGAGTAGAATTCTTTCATCTTCGGAAATGTAATACAGGAAAACTTAATTTTGATGATAATGTCTAATTCACAAGAGCAGACTTGCATACTGTTTATTAGGGAAGAGAGGTAGCACCAGATACATAGGAATGTGGAGGTAGGTGTGCAATATAATAGAACTAAATGACACGGAGAAGAATTTAAGGACATGGCATGAAGTTAATGTCATGCCAGAAAAGAAAAGAGTCATTTGAGAGATAGATGGGGTGGTGGCATGGGTTTATAAACCATTGTTTTACAGGTTAACACATCATTTTAGTTACAACTCAAAAATAAGACATTCTTTATAGATTCTAAGAACCTAAACTTTAGCTTAAAGGGCCACAAGAAAGCATTTCTTAGTGCTTTCCTATGGACGTTCTGTGTGCTCAGGAAGACAGCCACTAGAGGCTGGATTAATCCTGCAATGTAAACATAGCCGTTTCTCTGAAACGGCTATGTTTACATCTGAAGGGTTAAAACCTGGGGGACCTGTCACCCAGACCACTTCATTGAGCTGTAGTAGTCTGGGTGACTATAGTGGTCCTTTAATGAAGCAGTGGTGTCCAGATTGCACATCTACATTCTTACTGCTCAATTCTCTACTTATGATTTAAATAATATTTGTTTGTATTTATGCAACCCTAGCCACACATCCACTGGATGTTTTTCAGGCTGTTGTGCTTGTTACCAGACAGACATGGACCTTCAGTGGGCAGGCCTGCCACTTGTCCATCAGGGGCAATGGGCACGCCCACCAGGACAAGTGGTGGGACTGCCCATTGTATGCATTGCCAGAAACGCAGGTTGCATTGCTGGCATTGTCCCCCAAGGCCCAACCACCCAAATCCATACCTCCCGATGCTTTGAGCTATGTCGCTGTTTTCATTTTCAATCAGATCTTACAGCACAGTGTGTTTACTTTATAAGTTCCTATCTTCTTCTCTGTTAACTAATCATATACTCTACCTGATTATTTACAGAGCAGGAAATACATTCTTAAAACGTAAAGTGTAATAAAGGAAAATAGAAAAAATATATTGACTCTTTTTAAGAAATTGTGTAGGGAGACTGTGATTCTCAGCCTGGGAATGTGTGGCTAGGGCTGCATAAACAAAATTATGTCATTCCTAAATGGCAGAGAATTGAGCAGTGAGAATACAGGTACATGAACTATATACCAAAGCTGCTTCATGTTTTTATTACACTTTATCAAGTGAATAAGGTGCCCACATTAGTAATATATTGTATCCCAGAGTCAATGTTGCAAGCACCATTTTCCCATGTTTGTATGTGTTTGCAGAGTGATCCTTCTCGAATCATCAGAAGGTTCCACATAGTTCCAACATAACTTCCATCCTGAAACAGTATAGCGCACTCTCCATTAACTTGGCTTTACAGTTTGTGTCAAGAGGAAACAGCCTAGCACATTCCTCAATTTCACAATGTAGGTAAAACTGTGCTGTTTGGGCCATTCTTACATGCTTTTACAGTTTAGGGAATTACGGTAGAAACCACCTTTATATCCACCTGTAACTGAGGTTCACAGTGTAAGTGTCAGTGGTGTGGAGCGGGAGGAACCCAGTATGTAGAATAACACAAATAGCGAAAAACAGGAAGAGAGAATCCAAAGACGGGGTCAGGCAGACTGTTAGGTCAGTAGACGGCGTAGGTTCTTAGGCAATAAAATAGGCTAGAGGTCAGAATACTGGGGAATCAAAGTGAACTGGAAAACTGTCAGCACCCAACTGAGCTGAGTTGTTCTGCAAAAAAGGTCAAGTACGATGCGCCAACTATTCGCGTGACTTCCTTGAGTTGCTCGACCCTTTCTCCATAAGGTTCGGCGTGTGCACTGCCTAGGGAGTTCAGGGATCCACTCCGCTTGTGAAAGAGACCCGAACGAGGAAGCATGATGGTTCTACAGTTAACTAGTTTAGCAATGGGGTTCATAATAGCAGGCGGTGAATGTGAATCGAATATGTCAGTGATGTTGAATTCATTGATAAATTTACCGCAAATTAAATGTATCCAACATTGCTATAACAGTAAGCATCACTAATTGCATTTTATCCATATCTCTGGGCTTGTTGTAGAAAACAGATCTGTAAGAAGTGATTGAACCAGTTTATAATGATGTATTAACTTGGCTTTAGAATTAGCCTGACTTATTTCAGCATGTAGAAGCATTTCCTTCTTCTGATCCCTGGGCTGTCTCTTTAACCTCAACAATTTGAATTTCTTACCAGAATAAATGTTTCCACAAAGTAGTTGCACTAATTCTCTTTTTAAGGCACTGTACTATAAAAAACGAGTAGCTAGGATGTGAAGCACATGTGGATTAGCTGGAAAAAGTAGAATGTAATGGTAATCAGTGTTTATTAAATAGGAGCACATAAGCACTTTTGTTTTTAATATCTTTGCGACCAAACTTAGTCGTAGAGGTACTTTAATCCACTACAATGAGGTTGTGGAATAACCAAAACCATTGCATACCATTCGGGCGCACAAAATTAAGGTACCAGTGACAGCGCTTTTATCCTTGATACCTGATGGTATTTTTATGTTTGCTTCAATATGTAGAT